TATACACACATATATATATTCAATCTCTAACTGAATACTAAAACTGGTCTGTGAATACATTAGAAGATCTACATATGTACATCAATGTCCAAAAAATCATCTTGAAAGCCACAAAGAGAGTATAGAAAAAGATGTGAAATGATAAAGTTTCAATATCACGTTGAACGCGTATTCAATAATTTTTCTGATTTTTTTCTTTTATTTTTTTTTCTATTTTTTATTTTTTGATAATGCGTCTGTGTGTGGCACATATGTCATACATGTGCAACGATGCACATGATGTGTTTACATACCGAGTTCTCCCAATTTTTCGCGCGTGAAAGAACGTCGCGACGAAAAAACTAAACCACGAAAACGCGTATACTTCTTAAATTACGAACTATAATTTTTGATCCACAGTGATACACAAATTTCGCGGTAAGAGATCTACGATATATTTATGACAGAATCCTGACTGTGGCAGTATAGAATCAGAAAAATGAAAAAAATTCATGGAAAAGAAAAATTAACGAATATCCTTCCTCTATAGCGTTTAAAGCTGAAAATTCCAATTGTTGCACTTGCGTTAATAAAAGGACGTGTAAAGGCGAATCAAAATTATGGGGGGCAAATATTATGAAGGAATTCTACTAGATCCTAAATAATTTTGCATCCATCTAAATGGCGTATACATTTGCGTCTTTCGTTTAGTATTTTGGAAATAAAAAAAGGATGTAAATTTTTCCGTCGCTCAGTTTGTCATATACTTTTACGTTATTTCTACGAGAAAATTCAGGAGTAGCTTGTACGTATATACAGAACTCCCTTATTCACAACCAGCTAAACTTCTCGGTAAACTATCCTATAATCGCGACGCCCTCCCGCTACTTCTTTACGTTTAATCATAAACGCGTAAAATAAAAGTAACTAGTGAAATTATAGACATATATTTGAACACGATTGCACGACATTTTTGTTCTACACGTGTGCCATAAAATAAACGAGTGGAAATCGGAAGAAAAGTCAAGAATAGAGAGGCTGTTTGAGTTTGATAAATCGAGAATAAAGGAGTTCGATTGTACATACATGAATAAGTATATGTCGCTTTTAATGCGTGCAATATGTACACATCTGCATATACATGCACATATACATACTCTTTATATATATACACATATACATAGAAATGTGTATATGTGTATAATCATTTTTAAATATATTATCAATTTTTCTATCTCTCTCGAATACACGATTTGCCGCGGAAATAACCAGACTAATTTTTTTAACGATTTTGAACGAAATATGGTAACACCGGGTGATTCAAAGTGATTCGATAGCCCGTTTCCCACGATGCGATTTTTCGTGTTGGATAGCATGCATGATTTGCTGCTTGCTGCCCTGCGCTTTACATTACATAAAGCTAAGCTGGGCGCGCTGCAGATTTTCAAGTAAACTTGCACGAAAAATCGCATCGTGGGAAACTAGCTTTACTTTCGTATTTTACCATGCCGATTTGAAAAAGATCAGTCTCGTTACTCTCGCGACAGACTTCATGACAATAGATGTGCTAATTACGCCTCTATACATATCTACAAAAAAGAAAAACTGATATAGGACTTTATCATTAATTAAACTCTCTATGACTTAATATGTAAAATCGTCTCATAACAGTTTTAAAATGTGATTACCGTTATTTTCTCCAGTATGTAATAATAATTTCTTTCATTGATATTTCACAAGCTATTCAATCGTATCATGTTTCAACAGTGTGTTTAAAAAGTATCTCTTTAACGCTACATCTCTATTATTGCTTGTTGTTTAGTGCTACCGAATGTATTTTGGCATATAGCATGTTGTAAACCCTGAGCAACCACACCAATCATTTCAAAATGCATTCAACAACCCTCTCCTTTCTAGCAAAAACTAGAAATTATGGAAGAATTTATATGCGCAACTCTGTAGGAAAATCGACTCAGTCACACAAAGAGATTTCCATAAAAATTGTTGCCACGTTTAGAAATGTGGGTAAATGAAGAATTTACAGACAATACTATAAAACGAAAGCGCTTCCTTTGTTACTAAACTTGTTACTAGAATTTTCGAATGTTTCCACTTGTCGCGCGCACAAATGGAAATGGAAAGCTCTCGATGCTATATATTTTAAGAAATGTAACAAAATTTGTTGATGTTAACCCCTAATCTGCTTTAGATATCGATTTCCCTCTCCCCATTCTCGCCATCTTTTACGCCTTTTCTCAGAAGTGCTCGAGTAATCACTCGTAGCAGAACGTCTTTTTGGTTTTGAATTACCTTCTGGTTTTGGTGCCGGATTAATGTCTTGTGTTACCGTGTGATGCTGTGTTCTATTGTGATTTAGCGCTGTACTAACACCGGCCAAATTCAGAAGCGCATCTGCACCTTCCGCAATTTTTCTCTGTTCATCAAAATCTAAATTCAGTTCTTCTTCACTCGAATATTTGCTGTAGAGGAGATAAGAAAACGATAGAATTCAATTGTTTACATAAATTTCGTGTCCACCATACGCGCAAAATTAATGTATCTTTACCTTCCCAATTTTATCGAAGTAATACAACTATAAGTATGGTCTTCGCTGGAACTCCTGGTAATCACAGGCACCAACTTTTCGGATTCCGGTAATTTTCGTTTACGATCTGCATTAAAGTATACATTAACGCGCATAAGAGAGCATATAAATTAATAAATATCTTCTCTCTCTCTCTCTCTTTCTCAGTATTACATTTCTACATCTTTACTCTCTATCTTTTTTATCTAATTAATAAATTGCAAATAGTGACTCTATTATTTCATATATATGTTACAAATATATTTTTTGAATATGTCCAATACCTTTATTGTGATTTAAAATGATGGGTCCATGTTTAAAAGAAAGCATAGCGGCTGCTGCTGCATCAACATCACTATCTATCTCAGTTTCTGCGCTATCGCTGATATTGCTGGACGCCAGTCTTTTGGATAAATATGGGAAGAGAATCGGATCCGGGAGACGCGTATTTGCGCATTTTCTAGGCGGCTTTTCCGATGAAGACAAATTTTGAGTCGTTGGTGGAGGGAAAGGAGCGCGAGACAACGCTTGTATCAGATTCGGACGATACTGTGCATCTACCATCCACAACGATCCCTTGCCTAAATTCTGAAAAATAGAAGGCTACAATAAGTGTACAATATAATTTTTTTTTAATTTTTTTTCTTTGGAAGCAAAAAAGAATCTATATCAGAGCATACTTACCGGAGCTTTCTCCACTTTTCGAAAGCACTTGTTAAGGCTGAGATTGTGTCTGACGGAATTCTTCCATCCGGTAGGAGCGTTCCTAAAGTATGGAAAGTGATCCAGTATCCAAGCGTAAACTTCCTTGACAGGTAGCGCCTTTACAGGACTATCTTCAATGGCCATAAATATAAGGCAGGAAAATGAATACGGCGGTTTACTATTTCTGTGTAAATGAGGATCATATGGTATATGGGTAGGATGCTTGTTGCGATTAGACATTGGCAAATTATTGTTGCTCAAAGAAATCTTCGTTTGATTACTTGGCGAAGTATTGCAGTGACTTTTCGCAGATTCCTGATATACTTGCATCGATTTTTGACAATTCTTGGTAGAGTGTTGATAGTTTTGTCCACTTCCACTCAGCGTTACAGCATTAGTTTTTCCATTACTCTCTATTGTAACATTGTAAAAAGGAATACAATTAATGAGAAAAAGGAAAGAGAGAACAAATTGTAAGATACTTGAAGCACACAATACAAATATGTAATTTACCTGGACAGAAACTATCATCTAAGCTTGATATAGAATTTGTGTTTTCGGAAAAATCTGCCATATCGTCGCAGATATTGTTATTTAGCATATTTTCGTGCTTCATGTCTTTGGATGGGTTTGAAATGTCTAAACCCTTAAGTAAATTTTGTTGATGCAGCCAACTAAGAGATGTTAAATCATCATCTGACTGATTATTTTTTTCGATGTTTTTTTCAGTTTTTTCACATCTAGGAATTTCGCTCTGACATTTGTTGGTTGAATTTGAATCAGCCAGCACACTGGCGTTTTCCTTCTCCTTATCATTCATTGTGTAAGCTGTTTCTCCAAAATTATAATCCTGAGTAGAGTTCAGTTCTATGTCAGTTTCAATACCTGATGCATCTGGCCTATCTGGTGGCATGTTGTATAGAGTCTTTTGGTCACTGTAAACATATTTCCCTCTTTTATTTCTATTTAAATATCTATTAAATATTTAAAATAAACATGACACAAATTAAAAAAAAAACATTGAGATTATTTCTAATTTATTAATTATAATCTTTTTCAGATTGTGCATGTCTATGTGTGAAACATGAATTAAATATCATGCACAGAAAAATAAATATAACTTGTATTCAAATTATAAATTCTAATCTAATTAAATTATATTTTACTGTATATATTAAATATGTATTAATTATATGTAAAGTATTTATAAAATAAAAAGTTCCAAGAAAGATGGATTGTCAATTGAGATGGATTATAACTTGAACTTTTAAAATATAACACGAATAGCATATGTATATTAGAAACAATAGCATATATAGTAAAATTATGAAAAATTTTGTTGTAAACAATTATACCAGTGAAATAATCGCCGATTAAACTGAACTTGATTAAACCCTGAGTACTTGAAGCAGTTTTATAGCAAACATTGTTCTTTTCTTATGCACCTTTATAATACTAAGAAAATTCGCTTAAGAGAAAATTTATGAATCTCTAAATCATTAAAAAAATCTTGTGATTTTGAAATATATCAATTATTCATAAAAAATGTATCTCTCTCTATCTCTCTTTTGTTATCTGCTTTAAGATTGTATTGATTGTACAGTCTTTCTCACTGGAATAATTTTTGTTTCGTGTTTCGAATCGTCGTCAAATTTTTCACGTCACTTTTAAATACGATATAGAACAATAATCTCTAATTTTTTCATTACCTTCGCGAGATACCTATACAATCTTAAAGAATGATTCATAAATCGCCAATCATTCTCGCAGAAATGAGCGCGTGAGAGAGAAGAGGAAAGAGAGAGAGAGAGAGATAGAGAGAAAAAGAGAGAACGCGCCCATGGCGCGTTACAATATATCGTATTACGGTGTAAAAAAAATCCCCGTGAAAACGACAAGAAATAAGGGTCTGGCCGCTTTTCTATTTTCGGAGTGCGGCGCGCGAGAAACGCACAAGAGAGAGAGAGAGAGAGAGAGAGAGAAGACATTATAAAAGAGCGTGGCGCATCTGGTGGTATCGAAATTGAAATCTTCGCGCATGTTTGTCGCGCTCGCGTAGCGTAGCCTTGCTGCCAGCGGCGATCGACGATTGTTTATCCGCCGATATACATACGTATTGTAAGCGACAAAATGGCCGTGCGGCTATCACACGGTGAACGTGCATCTCGGAGAAATTCCAATTTTTTTTTTCGAATATCTCGCTCCTGCGGAAACAAACGTCACCCCTGGAGGCGCCGACTCCTCGCTCGCATCTTTCGCGAGATGCGCATTATTTTTTTTCTCTATCCCAAGAGGAATTTGGACGTCCAATGGCGTCCGTCGCCTGCTCTCGACCGAGATTAAGAATAAATCGGCCAATCGATTGCCGTTCGCGTATCACGATAACGAAATCTGTCAGGGAACTCACTATTTAGATCGTTTCTTTAAATCTTATATCGCGGTCGCCGAAAGATCGAATCGCGAACACTTGCCTCTCTCTCTCTCTCTTTTTCCTCGAAAAAATCGAAACCGGTATAATTTTAGTCGACGACACGAATCTCGAACAATTATTTTCGCGTTTCTATTCGAATCGGGATCGCGGCGATTCCGACGTAGAGATCGGAGTTTTTTTCTCCCTCGTATGTGACGGAAAACTGAAATTCGTCGAAATTACACACGATCGTCGATCGCGACGTCAACACGCGACGAGATTTTGCTTGGCAAGCAGCGTGGCGACCTGCATTACTTGTTGAATTCAAATATGGAGCTGATAATGATTACGAAACTCGCGAGGGGCAAACACGCGAAAATGGCCACGGCATCACTCGGTGCCACACATACACACGCGATATCAACATGCGTGTTCGCAATACGGCGACGCGTGGACGCACTCGCGGAGAAAATTACATAAGATAAATCGGATCGGCGAGAGAGGAGAATTGTCCGCGATTTCGATTTCACCGAGCGATTTTTCCTCCTCTCTATTCTCGGCGAGCCGTCACGTCACACCCGAGGCGTCTCGAGAATCCGTCGGGTTCGCGAGCGCGAGAAATCACCGCGGGATCGTCCTCCGGAAGGTCTCGTCCAACGAATTCTCACGTGCGAGAAACCTCACCGTCACGTCGTCGTCGTCGTCGTAGGCTAAACGCGACATTTCGCGTCACCGTTTCTCGCCGCCGCTCGGCCGCTCCGCGATGCTCGGCTAGGGCTCTCCTTATTCCTTATGATGCAACTCTCGCCGATGGGATCGTAACGATCGATCGGTATAGCGCGGCGATCTCGGGAGAAACTGAACTCACGTATGTCGACGGACAGACGGGACAGACGGTGGTCTCCGTTAGTTTTCTAAAGACGGGCATCGCAGGGCACACTCTACACAACATCCAGCTGATTGAGACGCCATGTTCTGACGTCATCACGTGCTCGCCGAAGTATCACGCGTATCGCAATTCGATATCGTCGCGATTTCACGTGTCACCCGCGAATACACAAATGTGGGTTACATTATGCGGATCGTCCTTACTGTCCTTAGGAGAGGGACCGATTTTGAGTAGAGATGAGATATTAACACCGTTATATATTCCTAGATATCGTGAGTGCATTCCGGTTATATTCTTTTTATGTATATATTTTAAAATATTTTAATTTTTTTCTCATTTTCTTTTCTTGAAATTTTATTTTGTGTAATTTTTTTATATCGCATTAAAATACACATATATTTTAAAATAATATATCTTAATTGAAAAATTACTCTCAGATATAAAAAAACATAAAAATTTAGGCATCTACATATTTGATTAAATAGTAAAATTATTATATATAACATATTAAATATCAATCTCTCAGAATATATAAATTTCTAAACATATATATTGACAGTATAACTTTTCAAAATATAAAATTCTCTTATATTTTCTTATATATATATATATATATATTTGTAACAAATTAATATTATATGTTCCTGGATAAAAATAGTGAAAATAGTTGAAAAAAGATAAAGTAGCGATTTATATTTTGAAAACTCGCGCTTTATTTTTAACTGTTCATTATATTGTACAGAAGAAAATAAAATTGATAATTTGCACTTCTGAAAAAAAATCACATAATCCAGGCATTACACGTGTGCGCAACCCCACATAAATACAAGTCTTCAAATGCTTTATCGATATTTAACAACTGTCACAGCCACAAGATTTCTCATAGATAATATCTTTTTAAAGCTACTTGCTACTATTATCAGAAGATAAAGATATTGCATATATGTATATATACATATATTTAATAATCATTAATATATATTAATGTATACTATATTGCATGCATTTTATGTGTATATAACTTTTTTCATATCTTACTATATAAATTTGTAATAATATAACTTCACAGGGCATTTTCATAAATATAATTTTAATCTATGTTTCTCTTTCACAGATATATAAAATTGTATTAAAAAAAACGTAGTGTACATCTTCAATGAGAGCTTCAGAGGGTTTTTAAATACAATAACAATCATAATATCATGGCACAATCATACAATTCTGTACAGTTATATGTCAAAAATCATATGATTCCTAGTATCATGTTTTAATTACAGATACTAAATTAAAATAAAGTTTCCAACTTTTCTCTAAAGGCTTTCCTTATTTTTAAAAATTCTAGTTCCATCTCTCGAATCATATTTTTAGAAATTTTATATATCTAATATATATATTATATATGTGTCATATAAATATATAAAGTATAAAAAAACTACTTTCAGAAATGATTTTATACTATTTAATATTAAAACTAAAATATATATTTTACGTTGGATAAACATATTTCATGTTTTAAATTAAATTGCTAAAGACTTTTTTATATAAGTTTAAAAAATTAAAATTTTTATTACATGTTAAAAAAATTTGTCCAAAAATCTATGGCTGATTGTAAATCTTTAGTCAAATAAATATATTCTATAATCACAATTAAATCAATACAGAGCTTTTGTACATCGTACAAAAGCGATTGTATATGTGAAATAAGCGTTTATTTCATTTTGCAAACCTCCAGGATTCCTCTGATTGTGAGATCTATATTTTGGGATTTTAATCTCTGAGAAGTATACTTTCAGTCAATTTCAGACACAGGCATTGCATACCCTAACAGGATGTTGCCAGCCTCTGTGAGGTACAGGTGTACGATGTTGCGAACATTCTTGACACACGCCACGTCCGCAAGCCCTGCAGTGATGTAAAAGAAGCGTATCGGAAAACTTTCGATCGCATACGCAACAATTGACAACTTCCGAATCAGGTATCCAATAAGACGGTCGAACGGAATCTTTTATGAATGCTACGTAAATGGAAAAATTTATCAGTTTATTCCGTGAATTATACAAATACCCGTAAAACAAAATGTTTTTACTCACATTTGGAATAATTCAAGACAGTTCCGACGACATTGAGCGTTGATACAACGTGTTCCGTCACCTTTCGAACGCCAACGTCCTCGATAGGAGGATCGAGGGAATCGTCACTAGAATAATTAGTTTCCTTCTCGTAGCACGTGTCGCAGACACGAACGGGTGAATACCAATTTCTGTTAGGCACGCATTTCGTTTTTGACGAACACTGCGCGCAGAAACCCTCTCCGCAATCACGACAATGGTGTTTGTCGTCTGTCGGACTAAACAAGATTTTGCATTGATAGCAGTATTTTATCTCGCAGTTTGGTCGCCAATACGACGGTGCCACTTGATCCGCGGCCCAGGCTTTCAGCGCTTTCGTAGGTTGCAGAGAGACATTCGTTACCGCTTCGGTGATGTACGAAACACTATCGATAACCCGTTGCGCTGTATTTTGAGACGCTATAGAACGATTTGGCTGAAAGAGAATACAAGAAATTACTTTGCAAAAAATTACTTTGCAAAATAAATGTCAAAAATATAAAAATTTTCGAACGCCAACGTCCTCGATAGGAGGATCGAGGGAATCGTCACTAGAATAATTAGTTTCCTTCTCGTAGCACGTGTCGCAGACACGAACGGGTGAATACCAATTTCTGTTAGGCACGCATTTCGTTTTTGACGAACACTGCGCGCAGAAACCCTCTCCGCAATCACGACAATGGTGTTTGTCGTCTGTCGGACTAAACAAGATTTTGCATTGATAGCAGTATTTTATCTCGCAGTTTGGTCGCCAATACGACGGTGCCACTTGATCCGCGGCCCAGGCTTTCAGCGCTTTCGTAGGTTGCAGAGAGACATTCGTTACCGCTTCGGTGATGTACGAAACACTATCGATAACCCGTTGCGCTGTATTTTGAGACGCTATAGAACGATTTGGCTGAAAGAGAATACAAGAAATTACTTTGCAAAAATAAATGTCAAAAATATAAAAATTTTTTCATTCTTGATATTTACCATATTCCATACGTGTGTGATCTTTTTGCGAATAGCAACATCCTCTGAATTATTGCCATACCAGTATTGTCTGCTTCTGTATACTTCTCCACAGTGTGGACAGTTTATAATGTATCCTGACCAGGCACTTTTCGCGAAGCTATACCAGCTATACTGATCATCCTCTTGATACTCTCTGGTTACTTCAATTTCATTTCCATTCCTATAACATCTCTTGCATATGTATATCGAGTTTTCATACTGACATTGGAATTTGCACCTATTGTTGCAACAAACAAAATTAATATGGTAATAATACAGTAATTAAACACAGCAAAACAAAGAAAATTAGTATCTGAGAAAATTAACCTGGCATTACTACTGTGCGATTTTCCTTCGCGAAGGTGTCCCATACTATTGTTACATCCGTTATCACAACTCAAACATTTAACAGGGCAAGTAAAGTACTGGTATGGGAATAAAGAGTCGGATAAATTTAATATCTCGCTAGAAAACCGATCGTTTAAACTCTTAAGCGTATTATATACTAGATGCGGCTTTCTGGCTGAACGGACTGTCGTATTATTCAATTCGATCTCAATCGCGGATCGCAGTTGTCCGTAATCCGTTATACCGTTTACCATCTGCAGTCCAACATATTTGATAGAGTTGAAAGCGTCAATTCCAAGGTTCATTTGTGTAAATCTAGCTCTCAAGATGTCTTCTGCACTTTCCGATCCATCTATAAAGAAATCGATAGATATATTATATTATGAATAGTAATATAATTTATATCTGTAATGAAATTCGCAGTTCGAAATTACTGTAATTTTGACAGAGTGGCAATATGTACTGTTGGTCAAAGGTATGGTGTGCCTAGTTTCGTGCAGCACTATAATACTTGGTCCAAGTGTGCTCAGTGAGTTAGAGATTCCCTCTTGCTGCCCTATCATTTGTAAAGCAGCTTTGAAATGATAACTATAAGCACGGGACGCAGCACCCAGAAATGTGAATAAGTCCCTGTTCAGCCTTTCTGAATAGATTCCATAAACCACAATATCAGATACTGCGAGTACTTTGAGTAACAATCTTGTATGTTTGTTTTCACAATTTGTAATACCTAAGAGTAAATAATGTTACATGTTGAATTCAGTATAGAAGATTAACTTTATGCTTGAATAATAACACAGGATGTATTGTACCTTGTAAACCTTCTGTATCCAAACAAATAACATTCAGAATCGGATCAAACGCCGCCCAAACGCCTAATGTACAACAATCCTGTTCGTTTGATGTTTGAAATACTTCCTCACCCTTAAAAAATACTTGATTCATGGTGTGACTTTTTCCGTCACCTGTATTTCCAAATATTGAAACCACTTTCACTTTAGTGTTCTCTTTGATACAACTCAATTTTTTCAGGAACTCTTCAGCATCGGAGACTTGCAGATTTTCTCGTCCATCCAATAACAAGAAACTCTTGTTATTATTATTGTGACATTTCATGCAAGAGTCCATCAGGGAGTTTTTGTCTACAAAAAATAGCTTGGGATTAAATTCAGGCAGCTTATCAAAATCATCTAAACTGTTGTCTAAACTCTTCATTATAGCGGGAGCTGTCGGTTCTTTCTTGATGGGTTGCCAGGTTTTCCACAATGTATTCATGATGCTCGTATAAACAAAAATTGTCCCTTGAAAATAAATTAAAGCTTGAATCCGTTAGCCTCGTTGCAGTAACATCTTCATGATAAATAAAATTGGTTAAAATCGAAATAAAACGAAATATACACGATCGCGCAAATACGACGTAAATAAACGATGCTCTTTCTCTCTTACCTGCATGTATGCACTAGACTCGATAATTCAGCAAGCACCAAGCATCGTCGCTAGGAACGACGAGCAGGTGCATTAATATAGTGTAACCTAAACTCGTGAAAGATTCGCGAAGAATTCACGGAAATTTTGAATCGTGACTCAGGAAAATCGGCGCATGATGGTCACGTCGCCATTATAGAATTGTATATCAGAATCGCCAGATTTGGATCTCGTCAACATCGAATCATCCGATTGAAAAACTAAGAGCGACGACGCGACACGCATTGACGGTCAATTTTGAAACGCGAAGCGCTCCCGAAATATATCGTCGATCGCAATAGTCGCATTAAAGCGTTTTTCCCGGAAAAATTGTCTATGTTTTGTACATACGAAGAACAAGATATATAATACATTACTCGGCTATATGGGGTGTGCTCGAAAATCGTACGAATTAGAATATTTTCACTTGAAGAAAAAGAATGATGTTATTTAGAATTTCTCTATATTACTAATATTATATCTATTACTGAAAATATCTAAATATTCAATAAAAGATATATTTTTTGAAGCAAGATAATCGAATTGGATTTAAAAAAAAAATCATGATTCACTATATATAGTTTATTACTATAGTTTATTGCGTCCCAAATTATACACAATTACAAATAATTTGAAATTGTGTAAAGGAGAGAAAGAAGGCCGATTGCAAACTTATAGAATAATGGAATATACGATGAGATGCGATTATCTCGACAACGAAAGATATTGGAAATTCATGCAATCTTATCTACATAAAGTGCAAAATAATTTATAAATATATATGATAGACGGATACATACACGTATATGTACGATGCTGTAAATCCAAATACACTATATGGAGGTAAGAAAATAACTGACTTTATTGTAAGATTACTCATAAAAGGGTAAAGGCCATTGCACGTGAAAAAGTTTTAGTCGTAATCGTATGACCGTAAGCAAATTGACCAATCACAATCAAGTATTCTAATAACGTAATAAGAATATTAACTGTGATTGGTTGATTTGCGTACGGCCTTACGATTACGACTAAAATTTTTTCACGTGCAATGGCTTTTAGGGTGAGGGAAAAAATACCCGGGATAGAAAAGATGAGGTGACAAATCTGATTGGCTACGCCATATTGTGATTATTAGTAAGAAGCATTCGAATGAGATATAATTCGTGTATTGAAGATTGAAATTTGACCAATCAGGATAAAGAAATTTCTGTTCCTTTTATTCTGATTTTATTCACATCCAATCTTTAATCTTCGTGCTTGATTGATTGATTGGTTGATTTTTGCAAGTGTTTTGAATAGTCCAATTTGTGTAATTGTATTTTTTTATCATTTACACAAAATAAAGTAGATACATATCTATATAAAGATAGACTTTAGAAAAGGAGAAGAAACAAAATGTATTGTCAAACCTGCGGATGAGTGTGCGACGTTTGCAACACGCGTTATTATTCAGCATTTTGTATAGCAAGAGTCGATTCGGATGATCGATATTAATCGATCGAGATGCTAATGTCGAGATCCATTCTGCACTTTTTCGCGTTTCTGGTGTCTAAAGGAAGACGAGTGTACTGTATTCGCGCCTCGAAGAGAAGAGGACGGAGGATCGCGACTAACGAAAGTGCAACTTGAAAGTTGAAAGGAACAAGTCTACCGATTATAAGCGATACAATCACTTTGTGTGATACATCGCTAGAACGAATTGTGAAATCGGGCGAGGTTGATTTTGCTTCGCAATTTTTTCGCACGCGTGAATTCGACGAAACGTAATTCCCGGATTCCGTTACGTCTTGGCATTAGGCTCGTGTGCTCGGTAACGTGACAAGTGTCGTTGATGAGCCAGTAGAATTCTCGACGAATCCGGTTCCTCAGCGGCATGTCGGCGCCGTCGTTGAAGGATCACCAGTTATCCCGGCGGAATTCCGAGATATGCTTCCCGACGAATTCACGGCAGTGACCTATCCTAACAAGATTGCGTCTACCCGGTGCTGAGTGATCGAACGATGGAGCACCAGGACCAAAATCAAACGGTCAAAGCGAACGGAGATGGTAGGTCACGCGATTGCTTTTGTTTGGATTTGTTTGTCCCCTGTCCCCTTGTTTAGATTTTGTTGTCTCAATTAACGGTACGTCTCGCTCATGTGCAAAAAAAGTATAGAGACAGAAAATTTAAACGCGCTACATTATTGTTTGGTATGCGAGAAAAAGGGATTGCATTAGTTTAATGAAGATTTCGCGATATTACTATTCGTTTGTTAATAATCAGATCTTTTAAGACACGATTAATATCATTAAGAGAATTATCTGTTATGATTTAGAGGATCTACAGGCGAAGATCCATAAATTGGAGTCGGAAAATATTAAAATGCGAGAGGAATTTAATGTACAAAGAGCCAAAATGAAGGAATTGTTCCTTCAAAAAGAAGGTATGTAGCGCACATACAACTTAAGTACTGAACAAACAGTTTTGCAATAATTATGCTGAAAATTGCAATCGATGAATTTTGTAGAGGAATTAAAACGAAGATTAGAAGAGAACACAGGCCTGCAAAAGGAGAATCTAAGACTAAAAAATGAACTGGACGAAACTAAAAGTCAACTAGTCGTTGCAGATCTTAAGATACAAAATGATATATTGGTGGAGAAGAGAAAAGCTGAAGAAGAGATAGCATCTTTACAACAGGTTATTCATGAAACAGTGGAAGAATCTTCTTGTTCAAGGAAGCAACTTGTCAGTGAAGTATCCAAGTTACAATTAGCTTTTTCCAAGCTTCAAGAAGAAAATGCGCTATTGAAAACGCAATTGCCGCGCGATCCGCCAACGGATGGACCACAAATCTCATTGTCTACAGTAACTAAAACATTAGCTAGAAAAGTAGCTTCACAGTTAGGTGCAGATTCTTTATCCCTAGGTCCTGATAATTTAGAAGAAAGCATGCGGAAGGTAAAAAAATATGTACGTAAATCTAAAACAGCATGAAACATTAAATCCTTTTCATATAATAAAATTTACACATATCATACAAAGAAATATACTGCATTATATACCAAGATTATCACCTACATTTTTAGGAATAATAATGATTGTATCATACATTAAGATAAATAAAAATTGTGTGATTTTTTAGGCACAAGAAGATGCAGAGGTTTTACGTTCGTTGGTTGTACCACTTGAAGAAGAAATAAAAGCTTTAAAAGAAAAATTAAGATCAACCGACGATGAACTGCAAAAATCTAAAGACATTTTATTAAAAAGACGGCAGCAGGAGCCTGGTTCCTTTGAGCCATCATGTGATATGTGTGCAAACTATGAAGCACAATTAGTCAAAGTAGAAGCGACTGCCATGGATTTGGAGACGCAGTTGTTAGATTCTCAACGTATGCTACAAGCTCAAAGGGAGGATTTAGCTAAGGAAGTTGAATTTCGAAAAGAAATGGAAGAAAAGTGGAATGAGAAGAAGGAGGAGCACAAAATCAAAGTTGCAGAGCTCACGGTTACCTCGCAGACGACGCAACAAAATTTATTAGAGTTAAAGAAAACTTTCGACCAAGTTCAGAGGAGTGTAACAGAGGAGCTTTGTAAATTGACACGAGGTAGAGAAGAAGTACAGAGACATCTCACTGCGTAAGACAATTTTTTTGTGATCAATTTAATTTTATGTTATGTTTAGTGATATTTTATAACTAAATTAAGATCTATAAAAATAAGTATATACTATTGATAAAGCTTTATTCGAAATCTAATTGCATATTTACAGACTTCAAGCAGAAAATGAGAATCTGGTGGGTAAACAAAGCAAACATTCGCAACAGCTTCAAAGTGAAAGTATCAACATGCCAAATACTGTTGAGGAATTGCAATTTAGCCTTTTAAGAATGCGCGAAGATTTAATTACAGCCAAAGTAGCTCAAGAAGTGGCACAAGAGAAGGAAGGAACACTGCGATACGAAGTCACTCTTCTGAGAGAACAAATGGAGCAGGAGAGTAGAGTTAAAGAACAAGATAATTCTATGTTAAAGAATGAAATAAGTGGATTAAGGTGAGATTCTCTATTGAACAACGATAAAAGTATTGATTACAATTACTTAATATTACAATCATCGGTATAAAACTTTATTGCGGCGAATGATTTGTAGAGTGCAATTAGATAAATACATAAGAGATCATCGTATACTTGCTGATAGAGAAAAGAAACTTGATCAGTTAGAAAAACAGCTACAGGAAACCGAGAAAGAGAAGAAAGACGCAGAATCGGCTGTAACTGAACTACAACAGAGAGTTAAGAGTCTACAGCAAGAACTGGATACTAGTGAGGCAGTGCAAAAAGACTTTGTGAGATTATCACAGTCATTGCAGGTAAAAAAAATAATGTAAACAGAGAAATGAGAGGCATTCAAAATTGACGAAGAAGAATTTGTAATAAGCTATTTTTTTAGTTGTAAACTCTGTTATATATGTAAAATGGAGAAAGAGAGACTTCAAGTATAAGTAATACAATGTATTATTTTGACACACAGGTACAACTGGAAAGGATTAGACAGGCAGGTAGCGAAGTAAGATGGCAACATGAAGAGGATGTTGAAGAATGTCCTACTTGTCATACAACATTTTCAGTCACAAGGAAGAAGGTACATTATAGAAATTAGATAGCGTCGCTTAATATTCTGTATAATGGAATTGAGGAGATTTTACGTCATTCGTAGATGCATTGCCGTCACTGTGGCCATATATTTTGCCAATCTTGCCTCTCGCACGTCGTGAATAGCGGACCGCAACAAAGACCATCCAGAGTCTGTGATGTTTGTCATACTTTATTAGTGCAAGATACTGCACCATACTTCAGTCAAGAAGCTCCGCATACACCTGACTAAATGTTCTAAAACTACGGGATTTTAACGTCGTTCAACGAGACGTGCAATATCAGTCTGGTAATTTAGTACTCACTGAAATTGATGTCTCAAGAATGTACTGATTATTAAATACCGCCTAACAATAACTCTCTTCTGTTTTTATAGAGAGTTAGAAAGGTTCATAGTGTAAAAATATGGGGTTTAGATAAGAAATTCCTATTACCTGAGAACCGAAGTGATACAGCAAATATCGTGTAAATATAAAAAGTTATGTACTATCGAAATAGTTACTGTAATTTAAACAAATTAAAGCTTTTGAATGTATGTGAGTTATCCAGAAAAATATCGTGAGTATTTATATATTATATTAGTTTGTATTTATTTTAATTCTAGATATCTCAGACATTTATATAATTGGCAAGTCTTTCCCCGAAATAGATAACTATATTTTATTTTACAGAATTTTCTCTTTTTTTGACATAGAAAATTGTTCTGATTTTACTAATTTTATTATACTTAATTTTATGTGTAAATTTGTTTTTCTTCCTCTAATATAACAAACAATCAAATTTGTAAATTTATAATATATGAAAGTATATAAAATGAATTTAATAATTGATGAAATAATAATTGCAAAATAGTATTTACAAATTATTATTTAACTTGTTACTTTATGATTGTTAACTAATTAAATAATTTCACTGACGATACTATAGGTCCTGTGAGAACCTAAGGTCCATTTGCACATCTATTTAGATGCTCGTAACTCAATCTAAATTTGAGTACAATGTTGTTAAATAAATTACATGATATCAAATGCATCTTAAATTTGTACTAATTCTATTATTTGTATCGTATTGTTGTTACCCATTGAATATCGGAAAACTTTTATCATTTTTGTCTAATTATAAATTTACAATGGATGAGCGGTATCGTCTCATCACTTGATATGTACCAAATGTGCCTGAAGATTTTCAAGATTGACATAATTCAAGTTTGAAAAAAAGTACTTGTAGATAATTTTCTGTGCAAACTCGAAGAATTCTTGTTTTCGAGATATCCAATTAATCCGAGGACACGCGCGTGTCCATATAGTTTTTAATTAATAATATTTATTATACTTAGGAGGGCATAATATTTGATATATAAAGAAATATAAGATGTATATATAGGATATTTTTAAATTTTAGATATAAAGAAAGAATTTTTGACAAAATAAGGAAGTAACATTTCAAATGACAAAAAATATTTGCTCACCGAATTGTTCATCGAGAGTTTCAAGAGCTTTAATATATCTATCTTTTTAATTATATTGTCATTAACAAATAGGTGCATGTATATATTTATTATTTCAAGATATGCATGAAAATCTACAAATATTGTAATCTTTCAAACTAAACAACGAATTGAAAAAATTATATATGCATTCGGTAAACAAGTATAAATGAAAGATGTTTTATATGAGAAACCTAAGCAACTCTTTTTAAAATAGAAACTTATCTACAAATAGCGAATTGCGTAAAATATAAAATATATATATATAAATATGAGATTAACAGATTGAAAATCTTTATTAAAATAATATGTGCAGAGTTACTTATAACAATCGCCACGATTTTAGAAACACTTCCAATAGTTTGACAAAAAAGAATTATAAGGAAAGAATTATATATAATAGGCATCAAATGTGGCATTAATTATGAAAGTTAAAAGGACTTAACAAATTTTTTTTAGTATAAAGTCTCAATCGTCTCTTCACCTCTTGAAATAATGTTGTATAACTTTCTTTCATAATTATGTAAAAAGCATCAAAATACAAATCCAATGAATATGCATAATGCTATTTGATAAAATTCTGTCTATTCTTTTACAAAGAAAATTTATTTATGTCAAATATCAAACTACTAATCGATACAGAATCCGAGAAATGTATTACGCGAAGAAACTTCTATTAATACAGTAGACAGTATCGGTAAGTAATAACTATATAATTTATATCATATATGTGATGTATGTACGATGAAAATTTTCACTCTATTTCTGTGCATTTTATAGAGAATTATCTTTTTTAACTATTCGTAGAGAAAATTTTTCTAGTATATTTGATTTTATTCGTATATTTGTTTCTCTTTAATGCATGAAATAATCGAGTCATTGCTAACTCTAATTATAATTACTGACAACATATAAGTAGAAGCCTGAGGCGCATAATGCTGAGAAAATAATCTGAATTTGTATAGTACTAAGCAAATTACGCAACTGCGCCTCTTATACTCATATGTATATTTTATCACTGAACATCTCGGAGCATCTTTATACTATGCTCTATCTAATTATGTAAGAGTTTACACAAATATTCAAAACTTATCTAAAGTGTCTCAGTGAATTTTCAACATAATATAAATCTGCAAAAGTACTTGTAGACTTTAATTGACGTAAATTCGAAGAAAATTCTTTATTTCAAGATATCTTTATATTAGGTGTACAATTTTGCTTCCGCCGTTTTCCTATAGATGGCTTTAGCGGTAAGTAGTGGTCGAAATAAATAGATCATAGTCATGCAATAAACTTGGGCATCTGTCAACATAACCCCATAGAAACATTAGTCGATTTGTGTCTGCATCATAAAGTTATTCTCGATTGAAAATGTCAGTTTACGAGCCAAATTCTCGTCATTTGCGGGAGGTTTTAATTTTCTGCTTCAATATGAAGAAACCTGCGGCTGAGGCTCATCGAATGTTCTCAAATACTTATGGTGAGGCCGCTATTAGTAAAAGAACGTGTCGTGAGTGGTTTCAACCCTTCAAGAACGGTGATTTTCACGTCGAAGACCGGCATAGCGGTGGAAGAGAGAAGGTTTTCGAAGATGCAGAATTGGAGGCATTACTTAATGAAGACTCGAGTCAAAGTCAAGAAGAATTGGCACGATCATTGGGAGTGACTCAACAAGCAATTTCAAAACGCCTCAAAGACATGGGAATAATTCAGAAGCAAGGAAATTGGGTGCCGTACGAGTTGAAACCGAGAGATGTTGAACAGTGTTTGTTTGCTTGTGAACAGTTGCTTGAAAGGAAAGACAGAAGGGATTTCTGCATCGCATTGTGACTGGGGACGAAAAATGGGTTCATTACGATAACCCCAAGCGCAGAAAATCATGGGGATATCCCGGCCATGCTTCCACGTCGACGGCCAAACCGAATATTCACGGCTCCAAAGTCATGCTCTGTATTTGGTGGGACCAGCTCGGCATAGTGTATTATGAGCTGTTAAAACCGACTGAAACAATCACAGGCGATCGTTATCGAACGCAATTAATGCGTTTGAGCCGAGCATTAAAAGACAAACGGCCGCAATACAACGAGAGACACGATAAAGTGATTTTGCAGCATGACAATGCTCGACCCCATGTTGCGAAAGTGGTCAAAACACACTTGGAAACGTTGAAATGGGAAGTCCTACCCCACCCGTCGTATTCTCCAGACGTTGCTCCCTCTGACTATCACTTGTTTCGATCAATGGCACACGGCCTGGTTGACCAGCACTTCCGGTCTTATGAAGAAGTAAGAAATTGGATCGATTCGTGGATCGCTTCAAAAGATGACCAGTTTTTTCAACGCGGGATTAGTACGCTGCCCGAAAGATGGGAGAAAGTAGTGGCCAGCGATGGACAATACTTTGAATCATAAATGTGTTCAATTTTAATTGATATAATTGACTTCTTGAGAATCGCAATTAATATATATGTTCGAAAAATATATAATTCCATTTTAAAAAATAGTTGACCTTCGTTGACTTTTTCATTCGAAAATCAAATACATATATCACAATCTCTTAAACTCTTTGAAACCATAAAAATATTGTTTAAAACATTTTTCGATATCCTAAAGAATTTTTGAGTTATTCAAAATTAGAAACTCTATGTATTATAATAGTTATACAAACTACTAAATATT